GACATCCTTTGAACTCAATAAGATCCAAGAGAAAGCTAACCAACATAAATTCAATGATATAAGTTGTACACTTTTAAACAAAGGTTTAGACTTATATAGCAAAGTAAATGCCCAGTCTGTTCTTGATGCTGCAACTATTACCAGGCTTCAAGCTGTCAAGCCCAGTACTACAGACCACTGCCAGATTAAGGGTGGCCTTATTCTTCATACCTCAGTTCTTTCTAGGCTTTATAAAAAGCGTGAGAGTGATGATATACGTAAAAAGAATTTAGCTGTAAAGAAAATGATCTCACAGCAGTAACAGAAGACCAAATCACAAATAGTTACTTCTAAGAAAAAGGCAGGTTCCCAGCTAAGGGCTGTTAAAAATCTGGAAATCATAAATACAAAGGAGGATGAGATGGACTGTGATGAGTCTACTGAATCAGTAAGTAGATATTCTCTTATTTTATTATATTTTTAAACTAATAGCTTGCATTTTCTAGGAGGAAAATCTAATTTCTAACAACATGGCTCCAAGTGCCACCCACCCCCAGTGCTCCTCATATAAAAAGGTTAACTACCAGGTCATTTTAATGTCTGATTCTGAGGACAATAGTGATTAAATCATAAACTATCACTTTGGGGTCCCAATCCTGCAATTTGTATTATTTCCAAACTATCTTTTTTGTACATCATATGACAATTAAAACCTTTTATTTTACAAAGTTTAAGGCCAGGAGAGTAAATATTGAGTTGGTGGTGGCGATTTTTGATGTTTTTACAAGTAGGCTGAAACTGACCCATTACTAGGGGTTGACCCATAACTAGGTATAATATGTTAGCTTGTTTGGTTTTCTTTTTGTTGGCTATATGTAGTTAGTAGGAGGATGATCTTTCAGGTGAGGAATCTTCTTGGGTACTTGGTTAGCTTCTAAGCAAAACTCCTTCATGTTCATGTCTTGAAGCCTGTGGGCTGGGCACCTGAGTTGATCACTCTTGGAATGTATGCAGTTAGGCCTATACCAGAGGGTCCTGGGAGTAAGGATTTTCTCTTTGTCTAAGATGGAGTGGTTTTCTTAATGCTATAGCTCATACTGTATGCCATGTTCTTGTACATTAAACAAGGAATTAAATGATTCTAAAGAAAAAAAAAAAAAAAAAAAGGTCCTCCGGTACAGACTCCTCATACAACTACTTAAGTTCTTTCCTATACTATAAGTTGAACCAATACTTTACAAACATCTTCCATAATACTACATGAGAAAGAGGTCTTCCTTACAAGAGATAACGAAAGTACTAGACGATCTTCAACTATCAGAAGTGATAGCGAAGGTATTAGTTCTCTGAGTTATTGAGATATCGAGAGAATGTAAAAGGTAAGGTCGTTACCTGTTGAAAAATTAAACATAGTGGAGTAGGATTGTTACAGTTCTAAATACATGCATACTGCAAGTTCTTCAGCATTGGAGAGACATTTATTATATGATTAGTGCTGTGATTTTGGTTGCCATCCCTTCCACCTGGCCCGTAAATGGCTTTCCAGAACCTGAAACTCGCATGCCATTGCAGCAATATTTGGCTTATCACATTCAAATAACCTTTGACAAGCATCTCCAATTTTGATATTGCTGTAATTTTTGGGCATTGATACAGTATTCTGGAGGGGCTGGTAAGGGGTCGAAATCTCTGCAGATAGAAAATCTGATGTTGAGATAGTATCTTATGTTGAGCTGAAAGGCATGTCTTAGACGTGCTGCAAGATTTGGAACTGCGCGCTGTTCCACAATCGGCAGGAACCTTGGCACGGTTAGTCTACATTGCTATTAAGATCATACCGTTTACAAATTCAATAAACCCCACCAATTGCGGTAAACGTTATGCAAAACCAGCCCACAGTTAAACAGCTAACCCACCTCAGTTTCCCTGCTAAAACACCGCAAACTCCTAATCCCTGTTATCCAAACTTTGCTCATCCAACTTAACATTCCTCAATCCCCACCAACCTACACAACTTGTTAAAACTGCGATCCCACTGCAAACAAAGAATAGTCCGAATATGGCCCATTTGGATTCCTCGCCTCCGAAAGAATCTATAAGGTGAAGGAAGGAATGTGTACCAATGAACCCTCCGACCTTTCTCCATGCTGCTGCGATGCCATAGAACTTGCCGCGGACTGGGGTCGCGGCGGATTGTGAGACTATGAGTCCTATGTTATTTCCTGCTCCGGCTTCGCCAAACATGGAAAAGAAGCTAATATGTCAGTAGATAGATGTTACTGAATACCAGCGACAAGTGGAGTTGGCATCCGAAAATGAATATGAAGGCCGGAGCCGGGATCTCGATCTTTGCCCACAATCCTGCGAGCAGTACAGCCATAAGCGTCTGGCAAAAACTCCCCCAAACTAACGTTACTCTTGGGCCCAGCTTGTCCCTGAGATACGCCTCGCCCACCGCTCCGGGGAAATGGAATATCATGATGCAGGCGGTATACCCAAAGACCTGCACCAGACTCTGTCCTGGTGTGCCAACTATTTCAACTAACCTTGGTGCGAAGATGGTATACAAGAAGGATGTGATGTTCCAGAGGAACCATATCAAGCTCTCCACTGCAAGGTTGCGCCAGTAGTGCCTTATCACTGTCTTTTATGATACCTCTAGTTTATCATTCCGAGCCTGCTCGTATTGCTCGCCTTCATTGACGAAGCGGTGGATCAGGAAGACCACCAAGGCGAAGGCGGTGCCATTGCTGAGGAGTATATGGAAGGCATTAGAACACTGGTCTGGGGTGTCCTCGCCCGTCAGTGCCACGACTGCGGTTGGGATCATGTTTGTTGCAAAGAAGCCCTATTGACTAGTTACCATGATATGCCCCACCTAAATCACCCATTCGTGTGAAGACATACCCCGAGAATCATAAGATTTGTGCAGAAAACGAACCAGTGGTTCCTTGTCCCCTCTGGGCGGAGCGCTGCTACTTCTGCACAAGCACCGCTGCCAGATGGGAGCTCGCCACCGATTCCCATGCCAGTGAAGAAGCGACATGCGGCTAGAAGATTGATTATACGGAGGACAGGCCCAGGAAAAAGGGAATTGAAGTCAGCAGGGAGGAAATAATGACTATGATCCCCGATGCCTTCATGCCATTACGACAACCAAATCTGTCGACAAGCCAACCAAAACTGAGTTTTCCGATGACGATACCAGCAAACTTGATCTAGGGGTTTTAGCAAGGGCCCCTTCACAGGAACAAGAGAGCTACTGAAGTTAAGAGTCATTGTTTCTCTGGCGTATATCTCTCCAGCCACACTCTCCGCATAAGGATATTCACAACACCGATGATCTACAGCATCAACTAAGTCAACTTAGTCCAGATTCATATGATCCCAGCGATATAACTTACCCCGCTCAAGTATCCATCTGCAAATAGTCCGAATCCCGAAACAAATATCCTCCCATTCAAATTCTGGATCTTCCTTCGCCGCCGCCATCGAAACAACACTCTTTGAAGGAGGTTAGGCGTGGTAGCATTATCTTCCTAACTCCCAGACTTAGTACTTCGTTCCACTATACTATCTCCCTCTTTGTTCATGGGCTTATCACCCATTGCCACCCTTTTTCACATTGCCACCCTTTTTCAATTACTTATTTGCGGGCAAGATGATTACCCACGAAAAGTCCAGATCCCGTGGAGGTGAGGGCAAATTTATACTCTGAAATCGATGATAGCGCAAGCACGTAATAATTACCATAAGAGCAAGTATCAAGATCGATAACCCGATAGTGTAGTCATTTCCAGTTACTGAAGGAAATTTTAAGCGGCAAAGGCCATGAAACTATGTAATGAAACTCAATACAGATAACAGTCCCACCATTACACTTTGAACAGCCAAGAGGAGTCCACCAAACAAAAATGCAGAAACGAATACCCTTTCTGGACTGTAAAATATCCATATACATACCGCGAGGCAGGTTATCGCAAGTGGGATGGTGATTGCCAGGCATATTCGCTGCGGGAGCCAACCCTCGACAAACTCTAATGTGAGGGGTTCATCAGTCGTGACCTTCGCTAGCCAGTCCGCCCAGGAACGCCCGAGATCGGGAGGCCGATGGTAGCAAGCTAGTAGCTCACTCTGAGAGAAGGTGAGCGAAAAGTGGTCACGTGGTGACCCGGAAGCCTGTTAAAATTGGTCGCAATCTATCAGTAAAATGCAAGTTGGAAGAACCAAGGGATCAAGAAGAAGTACCCCGACAAGTCTGAGGGATCGAATACCCCGCAGTGAAAAATACATCCTAAAAAACCCACTAAGCTTATTCTGCTCCTGCCGTAGAAGGTTGAATAACTTGGAATCCGTAAATGAGGGATTATGAATTGGAACTTCTATTCTGATGGTACGAGATAGCGCAGGTGAATACCCAGTTGCCAATGATAGCCTAATCACGCGCGTAGGAGCAGGAAGCAAGAGCTGTTGAATAGGAGCATCGTAAAGACTGTTATTTGCAAAAATTGTGCGTGGGCTATTAGGTGGGTGAGGCACTGTGGGGGCGAGGTTAGCTCAAGATATCATACGAGAAATTCGCTCCAGGGGCGAAAACCCACTACCCGCTTCAGCTGGACCCTGAGATACAGGTGTCGACGGAGATAATGGCCCCTCCGTAAACCTACTGGAAATGGTAGAAGGGAGACTCTTCTCCCCAATCGGGATGGGCTTATGAACGTCGATATGTAACCAGGAGCTAGAACTTTCCTCGCCTCTTTTATTTGGCCCTGTACACTTTCGTTGTGTATTGAGACCCTTCCCTAGAGGAACAGAGAGTGAGCGCCCCACCGTTCCTCCAGACCGCACTCGCTTACTCCAAGTAGTGGGGAAACGCCTTGGCTCAGTGATCAAAACAAACTCGTCTAGCGTTGGGTCATACAGGTACATTGGATCAGATACTGAGCCCTTGTCCCCCGTAATCTTGTATAATGTCCTCCCCCCCACCGCCCCGACAGGCTCAACAACGTAAACATCGCTATCAGTTGCCAGGGGCGATGGTAGTGGTTTGAATTTTCCATCCAGCAAGAAAGCATGACCACTAACCCCAGGCGAGAATTGTGGGGTTTCGTCTTTGGGCGGTAGAGGTGGTGGGAGATTAATCAATGTTACGGCCCCTCGCGCTGTGGGTGCGAATGAACATGATCTTGCTTCCTGCAGCTGCAAGTCGCTTCGGAAAGAATTGGCCATCGACACCGCCGAGGCACGCCGGACGTGCGGCGGCCGAAGAGGAGATAGAGGTGGTGAATGCTGGGGCGGGTTTTTCGACATTCTGCACAGAAAGGAGGATACCAACTGGGATAAATCTCACCACTCGCCCCGCAAGCCTCAATATATGAAATTCAAACAACTGAACCAAGCATGCTAGTAGCTCAATGGAACAAAGGATATCACGAAACAACTAGAAAAGATTAAACTTTTGGGGTGACGAGAGGGACAAATAGATAGACAAAGGCCCGAAACAATGGCGCGCCAAAGCTTCAGTCAAGTTAGGGTCAGAGAGTTTGACAAGATATGGATACCCATGGTAAAACACAAGCTCAGGTATCCCATCGCAACCACAATGAAGTCCACCTCCCACCCATCGCGATCAAACGCCGGAAAAATGACCAAGAGAAGAAAAACACAGCTACTTCCCACCAAGCCTGACCTCGATTTTTTCCATCTCAGCCTTCTTCGCAAGTGCAATCTCATCCTTAGTAGCATCGTAGCGCACGTTGCCAACCTGGTTGAATGGGTTCTCCTCACTCTTCTCAAACTCCTTCTTGATCAATTCCTTCATCTGCCCAAGCCTAAGCCCCTTATGCTCCTCACGAAACTCCGGTAATCTGCGCTCTTCGTACGCTGCGTATGCAGCTTTGTAGCGCCTTTCGGGATGCCGATCAATGGTGCCTTTCTCAGCCCCAGTAGCTAAAGTCAAAGCATCAAGGGCGTCGTCGACATTGCTAGCGTTCAGAGATCCCAACGCAGAGTCGATCCCTTTAGTCCGCTTAGCTGGGCCGGCTCTGGCGGGCTTGGGTTTTGAAGGAAGTGCGCGCTCCTCCTCTGCTAGTGCTGCAGCCGCAGCGGCCTTCTTAGCGGCCGCATCACGCTTCTTGGCCTCGGCTGCCTCTCTGATGGTAAAGGGTTAGTATCGGATGGTAGGAGCGTGCTCCTCAGTAAAACTCACTTTTTGGCATTACTCTTAGCACCCTTCTCCCACTCTTGTGCCTCCTCGGCTGCCCTTCGTGAATTTTCGGCATCGGCTTTGGTAGCAGCCGCGGCAGCCTTCTTCGCATTTCCGGCAGCCTTTTTTGAATTCTCGACTTGCTTTTTAGGCATTTGGCTCTCTATCGGATTGGCTATGGCTGCTTCGTGGTTTTAGGACTTGGTAGATGTGGTGATTGGGATTGTGGGCAGTTCTTTGTATGCACTCACGAGTCCGGTCAGGGTAGCGCGATGTGCTGATGATGACGCAGGAGGGGTCATTGGGTTAGGGTTACCTGAGTGAATTCATTTGGACGCGGGTAACACCATCCTTGGTTACCGAGGATTCTGCTCGCGGGAAACGAGTTAGGTTATGTCACTACCGGTACGAGTACTCTAAATTAGTGCTCAACTAGAGAGTGTGCCTCTCAGCGAGGCGGACCCCTCACCAAGGCGCGGCGGGTAGGTGTGGCGTAAAAGGACCACAGTACTCGGAAATGGAAGTAAAAAGCCAGTTCCCGAGGGAACCCCGACATTCCAAGGAAGGACTAAAGTTGCAGGCGTTTTAACAAGGATCAGCAAGTTAAGAGATCCAAGTACCCATATTATACCCTCGAATACCGTAAAAACTCTTGAAATGCGCCACCTGGGGAAAAAAGGTCATCTTCGTTTCAGGGAATAAGGGAGGGTGATCAGCAGGAGCGAGTGATAGATAATGATCCGAAACATAGATTATCACGCAAACGATCCAAAAACATTGACCAATCCTAGATGATTGTATGCTATTTTCACACTAGACGACATGCT